TGCAGCATCCTGAAGAAAGTTTGAAGAGTCTGGTAGATGTTGGTAAATTTCAGGCTTTCACATGATAGTGGCTACCATCCCCCATCCCTGTGGCAGACAGCTATGGGGACAGCTGCCCATGTTCCCAGTGTGGTTTTTTGGAGCCATAGTATGTAATAAGCACTTTGTCTCCCAAATATTGGGGTTGCGCCTTCCTACTGATGATTGCTGATTTTGCTCACCAAGGTGCTGGAACAGAGGCTGGCATTCATTGTTTCAACCCCCATGGGCTGAAGCCCCTTCCAGTGGATTAAGAAACAGTTCTTGCTTTTTTACCCTCTCTTGGGAGTTAGACCTTTAAGGAAACTGTCGTCATGTCATTGGCTGTCCATAGACGTATGGAACAAAAACTTCAGAAACCACACACAAAAGGAATACACACTTCACAAAAACATTGTGGAAAACTCAAACAAATGGTTGTAGCCCTCATTGAAAAAGAAAGTAATATTGAGCAATCTCTGAAGAGTGGGAAAATTGGGTTTTTCCAATTAAATAATTGGAGTTCTAGAAGAAGAAAGTGGGCAGAAAATGTATTTGAAAAAATGAAGGCTGAAAATTTCCCAAATCAGAGGAAAGACAGGTATGTATATGTTCAAGAAGCTCAGTGAACTCAAAGCAGGATAAACTCTTAAGAGACAAACCCTGAGACACACTATAACCAAACTACCAAAACCCAAAGATGAAGAATTTTGAAAGCAGAGCTGACCAGTTTGATCAGTTTGTTAGAGCACGATGCTGATAACACCAGGGTCCAGGGTTTGATCCCTGTACCGGCCAAAAGATTTTGAAAGCAGCAAGAAAGAGGAGATTCATCTGGTAATAAGGAAACTTCAATAAGATTAATAGCAGATTTCTACTGGAAACAATGAAAGTCACAAGATGCCATATTTAATGTTCTGAAAGAAAGTAAACTATCAACCAAGAATCATATATCTGTCAAAAATAGACTTCAGGACTGAAGGAGAAATTAAGACATTTACAAATAAAGAGAAGCTGAGAGAGTCTGTTACCAGTAGACCTATCATAAAAGAAATGCTAAAGGGAGTCCTTCATACTGAAATGAAAGGACACTAGGCAGAAACTTGAAGCCCTAAGAAAAAAGTAACACTGGTAAAGGAAACTGCACAGGTAAGTAAAAAAGCCAGTATTATACTTTTGGTATGGTTTGGTATAGTATATACTTTTGGTTTAGTACATTTCTTTTTTTCTATAAGATATAATAGACAAATGCGTAAAATGTCAATAATTATGAATCTATGTTAGTGGGCCTACAATACATAAAGACATACAGTCTGTGGCAGTAAAATAAACTGGGAGGGATGATAAGCACATGATAAGATGCTCAACATCACTAATCATTAGGAAAATAGAAATAAAAACCACAATGAGGATACCACTTCAAAACCTTTAAGATGGCTATTATCAAAACAAACAGAAAAATAACATGGGTTGATGAGGATATGGAGAAATTGGAAACCTTGTGGAAAATTGGTGGAAATATGAAATGGTGCAGCTACTATGGGAAACAGTTTGGTATTTCCTCAAATTGCTGTGTGATCTAGCAATTCCATTTCTGGGTATATACCCAAAAGAATTGAAAGCAGGGACATGAAGAGATATGTATACACCCATGTTTATAGCAACATTATTTGCAATAGCCAAAAGATGGAAGCAACCCAAGCGCCCATCAATGGATGAACAAAATGTAACATGTACATACAGTGGAATATTATTCAGCCTTAAAAAATGAAGGAAATTCTGATACATGCTACAACATGGGTGAACCTTGACATTATACCAAGTGGAATAAGCCAGACACAAAAAGACAAATACTCAATGATTCACTTATATAAGGTGCTTAGAGTAGTCAAAATCAGACAGAGAGAAAGTGGAATGGTGATTACCAGGGGCTAGAAAAGGAGGCAATGGGGAGTTTTGTTTAATGGTTACAGAGCTTCAGTTTTACAAGACAAAAAGAGTCCTGGAGATGAATAGTAATGATGGTTCCACAACATTATGAATGTATTTAATAACATTGAACTGTATACTTAACATTAAGTAAGTTAAGATGGTAAATTTATTTATTTTTTTTAAAGATGACCGGTAAGGGGATCTTTACCCTTGACTTGGTGTTGTCAGCACCACGCTCACCCAGTGAGCAACCGGCCATCCCTATATGGGATCCGAACCCGTGGCCTTGGTGTTATCAGCACCGCACTCTCCCGAGTGAGCCACAGGCCGGCCCCAAAGATGGTAAATTTTATGTTATGTGTATGTTACCACAATAAAAGAAAAAACTGAAAAAAAGAGCA